AGTGTTTAGCCCCTCCGCTGTTTTTCACAGAAGATTTGTACCAATGGGTTGTGGGCCAAGGCAATTTATACACAACAATACATGGCTGCCACCCAAATTCAGCTCTTGCTGGACAATTCACATGGAAACCTATCACAGCTTCTTAATTTAAAACATTTTTGGGGCCTAACATGGGCGTTACAGAAAAGAATGAGGAAGGGTTGTAAGCCTTCCGCCTTCCACGGCCAGTGCATGCTCCGAAACGCGTCGCAGTGCACCCTGGGATCTGACGTCATCACGCTACATTCCAGCGTGCGTTCCATCCGGCTCTGAGGGAGGACGTGCACGCCGGCCGGCCTCACCGCTGTTCCCCTCCAGCCACCACGCTGTTCCAGCCGAGAGCTGACCTCCCCACATCGCAGTAAGATGACGGCTCTTCACCCGGGTCACCACCCCACCGGTAACTATTGTTAACCAGGGTTTTTAAGCTTATGATTCCTTCACACATGTGAGTGTTTCTACATTCAGACTTGAATTAAAAGACTTATTGCACTTAGAGGCGCTTCTCTCCTTTTTCTCAATTACAGAAAAGAATGAATGGCGGACATATTGGTCCACAGACCCGATTCATCGTATGTCCGTGTTCTCTGCTGGTACATATATCTCCAACATGGACCAATAATGTACTGGTACGTCACTAGACTGACAACTCATGGGGCCCCCGGGCAATAGGGGATCATGGGGCCCCTGTGTCTTGCCCAAACTCAGAAAAGGCTATGAAAAAGGTACCAGGGGCATCTCATGGGGCCCCTTACTGACCCCGGGCCCTCGGGCAGTGTCCGAGTTTCCAAATGATTAGTCCGCCCCTGGGTACGTCGCTGGACTTTGAGTGGTTATACCGGGGTGATGGCTGCAGCTACAGACGTCATCCTGGATTGTTTTTTTCAGCTCGCGGTTGGCTTTCATGTAAAAGAAATCCTAGTGGCCAATTATCTGCTGAATTATTTTTACAAGTAGCAGGAAGGGACATCACTCCCCCCCCCCCTCCCCCTCCCCCTGCCGCCTTCCACAGTTTTCTTGGGTTCTCCTGTCCCACAGGGGATATCTGAGAATGCAGCCAGCAGTTCTGCTGGCTGACCATAGAGCTGATCAGAGAGCAGAATGGCTCCAATCATCTCTATGGTCTAAGAAATCGGAAGCTAAGAGCATTTCATAATTTCCCTTTCACCGCACTTTAACAGCGCCATTTGTAAATTGGGAAAGCCTCTGATCACAGCGATCTTGGAGAGATCAGATGATGGAAGGGCAGAGGAGAGATCTAGAGTCTGATAGACCCCAGATTTCTCAGAAAAGAGTACCTGTCACTGCCTATTGCAGTCACGGGATATTTACATTCCCTGTGATAACAATAAAAGTGATAAAAAAAATGAAAGGGACAGTGTAAAAATAATTTAAAAAATAAAAATAACTAAGAAAATAAAAAGCACCCTCACCACCACGCACCTGCATGCGCAAGCGTTGACCCCGTGTTAGTATGTAAACAGCAGTTGCACCATACATGTGAGGTATCGCCACAAACGTCAGATCGAGGGCAGTAATTCTAGCACTAGACCTCCTGTGTAAATATAAATTGGTGACCTGTAATGGTTTTAAAGCATCGCCTATCAATAATAAAAATGTATGTACTTTGTCGCAATTTTAAAGCATGTCATGTTTGGTATCTATTTACTCGGCATAACATCATCTTTTTATATTGTATCAAACAATTTGGCAATATATTGTGTTTTTGTGCATTAAAATTCTAAAAAAACTGTATTTTTCCCAAAAGATTTGCATTTGAAAAATCGATGTGCATATACTGTGTGACAAAAAACACCGACTGTTTTATTCTTTAGGGCATCTGCTTTAAAAAAAATATATAATTTTTTGGGGTTCAAAGTAATTTTCCAGCAAAAAAAAAAAACCATATTTTTAATGTAAACAAAAAGTGTCAGAAAAGGCTTGGCCTTCAAGAATGGGTGATGTGGGGCAGAAGCTTCTAATGTTGGCCCTGAAATGCCAGGATAGTAGAACCCCCCCCCCACCCCCTGCAAATGACCACTTCTTGGAAAGTAGACACTCCAAGGTATTTGCTAAGAGGCATGGTGAGTATTTTGCAGATCTCATTTGTTGAAGAAAGAAAACAAAAAATGTATTTTTTATTTTCTTTTTCAAAACCCTGTGACAAAAATGAGATCTGTACAATACTCACCATGCCTCTTATAAAATTCCTTGGGGTGTCTACTTTCCAAAAAGGGGTCATTTGGGGTGTCTGTACTATCCTGGCATTTTAGGGCCTCTGAATCTGTGATAGGTAGTGGGGAAGTGATATGAGGAAATATTCCCTTTGAAAGCCTAAAGGTGGTCATTGGATTTTGGGGGCCTGTATGCATCTAGACTGCCAAAAAGCCTCTCACATGTGGTACCCCCATAATCAGGAGAAGTAGGAGAATGTGTTTTGGGGTGTTATTCCACATATACCCATGGCATGCATGAGCAATATATCATTTAAGTGACAACTTTGTATAAGGAAAGAAAAATTGTCGTTTTCAAAAAAATTGTGGCAAAAAATAAAATGTTCCATGGACTCAACATAGCTCTATGCAAAATCCTTGGGGTGTCTACTTTCCAAAAAGGGGTCATTTTGGGGGGGGGGGGGGGGTTGTTTCACTGTCCTAGTATTTTAGCACCTTGAGAAATGGGATAGGCAGTCAGAAAGTATCCATAAATATTGTATTGTCATGGCGTGGGCATGTATGGCTGCCAATGGAACTGCTTCTCTTGTATTTATTGATGATGTGACGGCTGACAGAAGAAGCAGCCGGATGAATTGTGAAGTGTTTCGGGAATATTATCGGCTCATATTCAGCCAAATGCTTCACAACTCATTGGACGCTTCGCAGTGCAGATGGACAATGACCCGTTGACCCATTGAATGATTTTGCAGTGCAGACTGCAAAAGACACCAAAGAAGTGGAATGTTCTGCAATGGCCAAGTCCATCACCTGACCTGAATCCGATTGAGCATTTCACTTGCTGAAGACAAAACTGAAGGGAAAATGCCCCAAGAACAAGCAGGAACTGAAGACAGTTGCAGTAGAGGCCTGGCAGAGCCTCACCAGGGATGACACCCAGCGTCTGGGGATGTCTATGCGTTCCACACTTCAGGCTGTAATTGACTTCAAAGGATTTGTAACCAAGTATTAAAAAGTGAAAGTTTGATTTATGATAATTATTCTGTCCCATTACTTTTGGTCCCTTAACAAGTGGGAGGCACATATGCAAACTGTTGTAATTCCTACACCGTTCACCTGATTTGGATGTAAATACCCTCAAATTAAAGCTGACAGTCTGCAGTTAAAGCACATCTTGTTCGTTTCATTTTAAATCCATTGTGGTGTATAGAGCCAAAAATGTTAGAATTGTGTCCATGTCCCAATATTTATGGACCTGACTGTATATCCCATAGTTTGTAGACGATATAACTTTCAGACAAACCAATTAATTTACACTTATTGGGATTTTTTTTACCAAAGACACGGAGAAGAATACATTTTGGCCTAAATTTATGACCAACTTTGAGTTTATTGGATATTTTGTATAAGCAAAACTGAAAAATATCACTTTTTCCAAAATGTTCAAACTTTTTTTGTTTATCGCGCAAATAGTAAAACTGCAGAGTTGATCAATAACACCAAAAGAAAGCTCTATTTGTGTGAAAAAAGGACATAAACTTTGTTTGGGTGCAGCATTGCATGACCGCACTAAGATCGGAGGGATCAGATATTTTCCACATTTAAAGATGGCGCTGCTTACATTCGGGAAGCTGGAAATGATGAAAATGCCGGTCACTTCTGGTTTCCTATACCATAGAGATCATTGGGGACCTTCTGGTCCTTGACCATCTCTATGGTAAGCTGGTGGAAGTGCTGGCTTTTATTCCAGGCTCCCCGGTGGGAGGGTAAAGCCCGGAGAAGCAGGGGCACATAGTGTAATAATAATACAGTGTCACTATGGTAACGCAGCACTGCTCTGGTCATAGTCTGTAACAGGAAAATGACACATGAAAAAAATGATAAAAAAGAAAAGTTAATAAAAAAAAAAAAAAAATATATATATATTCTGTCACCAGTCATTGTCACTGACCACGCCCACACCAGTTATATGACGGCGCTGTACTGCTATGGGGACAGGATGTAAGAAATACGTATTGTGACCAAAAATTACAACTTCAAAAAACTCGCCATGCCTCTTACTAAATACCTCAGAGTGACTACTTTCCAAAAAGGGGGACATTTGGAGGGATTTGTACCATCTTGACATTTGGGGGGATTTGTACCGTCCTGACATTTGGGGGGATTTGTACCGTCCTGACATTTGGGGGGATTTGTACCGTCCTGACATTTGGGGGGATTTGTACTGTCCTGACATTTGGAGGGATTTGTACCGTCCTGACATTTGGGGGGATTTGTACCGTCCTGACATTTGGGGGGATTTGTACCGTCTTGACATTTGGGGGGATTTGTACCGTCCTGACATTTGGAGGGATTTGTACCGTCCTGACATTTGGGGGGATTTGTACCGTCTTGACATTTGGGGGGATTTGTACCGTCTTGACATTTGGGGGGATTTGTACCGTCCTGACATTTGGAGGGATTTGTACCGTCCTGACATTTGGGGGGATTTGTACCATCCTGACATTTGGGGGGATTTGTACCGTCCTGACATTTGGGGGATATCTGTACCGTCCTGACATTTGGGGGGATTTGTATTGTCCTGACATTTGGGGGGATTTGTACCGTCCTGACATTTGGGGGGATTTGTACCGTCTTGACATTTGGGGGGGATTTGTACCATCCTGACATTTGGGGGGATTTGTACCGTCCTGACATTTGGGGGGATTTGTACTGTCCTGACATTTGGGGGGATTTGTACCGTCCTGACATTTGGGGAGATTTGTACCGTCCTGACATTTGGGGAATATCTGTACTGCCCTGACATTTGGGGGAATTTAAATGCCCTTGGAGTCTGCTGGGAAGAGAAATAATACTGTCAGTCAGTATGACATGCAGATGAGTGCCGTCGATCTTAGAATCACCGCACATTTCACTCATTTGGCCAGTCACGGGGCCAAAACCAGTGTTTGAAACCACAGTGTGGCGGTGGAGGCAGCAGCAATGGGAGGCCATACAGCAACCTATGACAAAATGGAAACCAGCAGGAGTGTGAGGAGACCTGAAAGTGGCACATGGCAGAGTGGGAGCAATGGGAGGTGGTACAGGGACCCAGGTCACACTGTGGGCTCAGCAGCAGCGTGAGCAGGCGGTACGGGGGCCCATGGCCGATTTGGGGCCTGGCGGCACCTATGGGAGGCCTGTAATCTGCCAGCAACCTATGTCAAAATGGAAAACCGCAGGAGTGTGAGGAGACCTCAAAGTGGCACATGGCAGAGTGGAAGCAATGGGAGGCCGTACAGGGACCTAGGTCACACTGTGGGACCAGCAGCAGCGTGACCAGGCGGTACGGGGGGCCCATGGCCGATTTGGGGCCTGGCGGCACCTATGGGAGGCCTGTAATCTGCCAGCAACCTATGTCAAAATGGAAAAGCACAGGAGTGTGAGGAGACCTCAAAGTGGCACAAGACAGAGTGGAAGCAATGGGAGGCCGTACAGGGACCCAGGTCACACTGTGGGACCAGCAGCAGCGTGACCAGGCGGTACGGGGGCCCATGGCCGATTTGGGGCCTGGCGGCACCTATGGGAGGCCTGTAATCTGCCAGCAACCTATGTCAAAATGGAAAAGCACAGGAGTGTGAGGAGACCTCAAAGTGGCACATGGCAGAGTGGAAGCAATGGGAGGCCGTACAGGGACCCAGGTCACACTGTGGGCTCAGCAGCAGCGTGACCAGGCGGTACGGGGGCCCATGGCCGATTTGGGGCCTGGCGGCACCTATGGGAGGCCCGTAATCTGCCAGCACCCTATGACAAAATGGAACCCTGGGCTGGGGCAGGCAGAACCGCCGTATCTTTATCACGGTTTTCCCAGGCCACCGAATGGCGACGCTGCATATGCTGACGCAACGCTGTAGTCCCAACATGGGCCCCCTGGCCACGCTTGACTTTCTGGCCACATAGTCGACATACGGCTATGTTTACTTCCTCGGGCGGCTTGACGAAAAATTGCCACACCGCAGAGTAGGAATCTTTGCCCCCGCTACTCCTCACTGGCTGACTGCTACTTCCTCCGTGCACACCGGCACCACTACTGGCCGTGGTGGTAGGCTGCAGTGGAGCTGGTGCTCTACTCCGTGGCCGTTTGCCTCCACAGACACTGCTGCGACCCTGCTGCCTCCTGGCAGCAGCAATGGGAGGCCGTACAGGGACCCATGAGAGACTCTGGACTTGGCAGCAGCATGAGGAGGCGGTATATAGGGGCCCATGGCAGATTAGGGGCCTGGCAGCAGCTATGGGAGGCCCGTAATCTGCCAGCACCCTATGTCAAAAAATTCAACACAACAGCAGTGTGTGAGGAGACCTGAAAGTGGCACATGGCAGAGTGGAAGCAATGGGAGGCCGTACAGGGACCTAGGTCACACTGTGGGACCAGCAGCAGCGTGACCAGGCGGTACGGGGGCCCATGGCCGATTTGGGGCCTGGCGGCACCTATGGGAGGCCTGTAATCTGCCAGCAACCTATGTCAAAATGGAAAACCGCAGGAGTGTGAGGAGACCTCAAAGTGGCACATGGCAGAGTGGAAGCAATGGGAGGCCGTACAGGGACACAGGTCACACTGTGGGCTCAGCAGCAGCGTGACCAGGGTACGGGGGCCCATGGCCGATTTGGGGCCTGGCGGCACCTATGGAAGGCCTGTAATCTGCCAGCAACCTATGTCAAAATGGAAAAGCACAGGAGTGTGAGGAGACCTCAAAGTGACACATGGCAGAGTGGAAGCAATGGGAGGCCGTACAGGGACCCAGGTCACACTGTGGGCTCAGCAGCAGCGTGACCAGGCGGTACGGGGGCGCGTACGGGAGCCCATGGCCGATTTAGGGCCTGGCGGCACCTATGGAAGCCTGTAATCTGCCAGCAACCTATGTCAAAATGGAAAAGCACAGGAGTGTGAGGAGACCTCAAAGTGACACATGGCAGAGTGGAAGCAATGGGAGGCCCGTACAGGGACCCAGGTCACACTGTGGGCTCAGCAGCAGCGTGACCAGGCGGTACGGGGGCCCATGGCCGATTTGGGGCCTGGCGGCACCTATGGGAGGCCTGTAATCTGCCAGCAACCTATGTCAAAATGGAAAAAGCACAGGAGTGTGAGGAGACCTCAAAGTGGCACATGGCAGAGTGGAAGCAATGGGAGGCCGTACAGGGACCTAGGTCACACTGTGGGACCAGCAGCAGCGTGACCAGGCGGTACGGGGGCCCATGGCCGATTTGGGGCCTGGCGGCACCTATGGGAGGCCTGTAATCTGCCAGCAACCTATGTCAAAATGGAAAAGCACAGGAGTGTGAGGAGACCTCAAAGTGGCCATGGCAGAGTGGAAGCAATGGGAGGCCGTACAGGGACCCAGGTCACACTGTGGGACCAGCAGCAGCGTGACCAGGCGGTACGGGGGCCCATGGCCGATTTGGGGCCTGGCGGCACCTATGGGAGGCCTGTAATCTGCCAGCAACCTATGTCAAAATGGAAAACCGCAGGAGTGTGAGGAGACCTCAAAGTGGCACATGGCAGAGTGGAAGCAATGGGAGGCCGTACAGGGACCTAGGTCACACTGTGGGACCAGCAGCAGCAGTGACCAGCGCGGTACGGGGGCCCATGGCCGATTTGGGGCCTGGCGGCACCTATGGGAGGCCTGTAATCTGCCAGCAACCTATGTCAAAATGGAAAAGCACAGGAGTGTGAGGAGACCTCAAAGTGGCACATGGCAGAGTGGAAGCAATGGGAGGCCGTACAGGGACCCAGGTCACACTGTGGGACCAGCAGCAGCGTGACCAGGCGGTACGGGGGCCCATGGCCGATTTGGGGCCTGGCGGCACCTATGGGAGGCCTGTAATCTGCCAGCAACCTATGTCAAAATGGAAAAGCACAGGAGTGTGAGGAGACCTCAAAGTGGCACATGGCAGAGTGGAAGCAATGGGAGGCCGTACAGGGACCCAGGTCACACTGTGGGACCAGCAGCAGCGTGACCAGGCGGTTCGGGGGCCCATGGCCGATTTGGGGCCTGGCGGCACCTATGGAGGCCTGTAATCTGCCAGCAACCTATGTCAAAATGGAAAACCGCAGGAGTGTGAGGAGACCTCAAAGTGGCACATGGCAGAGTGGAAGCAATGGGAGGCCGTACAGGGACCCAGGTCACACTGTGGGCTCAGCAGCAGCGTGACCAGGCGGTACGGGGGCCCATGGCCGATTTGGGGCCTGCGGCACCTATGGGAGGCCTGTAATCTGCCAGCAACCTATGTCAAAATGGAAAAGCACAGGAGTGTGAGGAGACCTCAAAGTGGCACATGGCAGAGTGGAAGCAATGGGAGGCCGTACAGGGACCCAGGTCACAGTGGGGCCCCCAGCAGCAGTGTGACCAGGTGGTACGGGGGCCCATGGCCGATTTGGGGCCTGGCGGCACCTATGGAAGGCCTGTAATCTGCCAGCAACCTATGTCAAAATGGAAAAAAAGCAGGAGTGTGAGGAGACCTCAAAGTGGCACATGGCAGAGTGGAAGCAATGGGAGGCCGTACAGGGACCCAGGTCACACTGTGGGACCAGCAGCAGCGTGACCAGGCGGTACGGGGGCCCATGGCCAATTTGGGGCCTGGCGGCACCTATGGGAGGCCTGTAATCTGCCAGCAACCTATGTCAAAATGGAAAAGCACAGAAGTGTGAGGAGACCTCAAAGTGGCACATGGCAGAGTGGAAGCAATGGGAGGCCGTACAGGGACCCAGGTCACACTGTGGGCTCAGCAGCAGCGTGACCAGGCGGTATGGGGGCCCATGGCCGATTTGGGGCCTGGCGGCACCTATGGGAGGCCTGTAATCTGCCAGCAACCTATGTCAAAATGGAAAAGCACAGGATGTGTGAGGAGACCTCAAAGTGGCACATGGCAGAGTGGAAGCAATGGGAGGCCGTACAGGGACCCAGGTCACACTGTGGGCCCAGCAGCAGTGTGACCAGGCGGTACGGGGGCCCATGGCCGATTGGGGCCTGGCGGCACCTATGGAAGGCCTGTAATCTGCCAGCAACCTATGTCAAAATGGAAAAGCACAGGAGTGTGAGGAGACCTCAAAGTGACACATGGCAGAGTGGAAGCAATGGGAGGCCGTACAGGGACCCAGGTCACACTGTGGGCTCAGCAGCAGCGTGACCAGGCGGTACGGGGGCCCATGGCCGATTTGGGGCCTGGCGCGGCACCTATGGGAGGCCTGTAATCTGCCAGCAACCTATGTCAAAATGGAAAAGCACAGGAGTGTGAGAGACCTCAAAGTGGCACATGGCAGAGTGGAAGCAATGGGAGGCCGTACAGGGACCCTAGGTCACACTGTGGGACCAGCAGCAGCGTGAGGCGGTACGGGGGCCCATGGCCGATTTGGGGCCTGGCGGCGGCACCTATGGAGGCCTGTAATCTGCCAGCAACCTATGTCAAAATGGAAAAGCACAGGAGTGTGAGTGAGGAGAACCTCAAAGTGGCACATGGCAGAGTGGAAGCAATGGGAGGCCGTACAGGGTCCCAGGTCACACTGTGGGACCAGCAGCAGCGTGACCAGGCGGTACGGGGGCCCATGGCCGATTTGGGGCCTGGCGGCACCTATGGGAGGCCTGTAATCTGCCAGCAACCTATGTCAAAATGGAAAAGCACAGAGTGTGAGGAGACCTCAAAGTGGCACATGGCAGAGTGGAAGAAGCAATGGATGGGCCGTACAGGGACCCAGGTCACACTGTGGGCCCAGCAGCAGCGTGACCAGGCGGTACGGGGGCCCATGGCAGATTTGACCTCGGCATCCCTATGGAGCCCGTAATGCCTGACCACGAATAGCGTGGCCTCCTCAAAGGGCCTGAGCAAGCGCAGGTGTCACGCATGAGCTGCCAATGGCTGACATCTAGTTACACAGGGAGTACCTTTATCCGCTTTTAACATCAGGAAATCTGTGATGGCCTTTCGCTGGTAAAGGCGGTCTAACATATGTAGGGTTGAATTACACCTTGTTGCAACGTCACAGCAGCAGCATGAGGAGGCGGTATAGGGGGCCCATGGCAGATTAGGGTTCCTGGGCAGCAGCTATGGGAGGCCCGTAATCTGCCAGCACCCTATGTCAAAAAAATTCAACACACCAGCAGTGTGAAGAGACCTGAATGTGGCACATGGCAGAGTGTGGCGATGGAAACAGCAGCAATGGGAGGCCGTACAGGACCCATGAGAGACTCTGGACTTGGCAGCAGCATGAGGAGGCGGTATATAGGGGCCCATGGCAGATTAGGGGCCTGGCAGCAGCTATGGGAGGCCCGTAATCTGCCAGCACCCTATGTCAAAAAATTCAACACACAACAGCAGTGTGAAGAGACCTGAAATGTGGCACATGGCAGAGTGTGGCGATGGAAACAGCAGCAATGGGAGGCCGTACAGGGACCCATGAAAGACTCTGGACTTGGCAGCAGCATGAGGAGGCGGTATATAGGGGCCCATGGCAGATTAGGGGCCTGGCAGCAGCTATGGGAGGCCCGTAATCTGCCAGCACCCTATGTCAAAAAATCAACACACCAGCAGTGTGTGAGGAGACCTGAAAGTGGCACATGGCAGAGTGTGGCGATGGAGACAGCAGCAATGGGAGGCCGTACAGGGACCCATGAGAGACTCTGGACTTGGCAGCAGCATGAGGAGGCGGTATATAGGGGCCCATGGCAGATTAGGGGCCTGGCAGCAGCTATGGGAGGCCCGTAATCTGCCAGCACCCTATGTCAAAAAATTCAACACAACCAGCAGTGTGAAGAGACCTGAATGTGGCACATGGCAGAGTGTGGCGATGGAGACAGCAGCAATGGGGAGGCCCGTAATCTGCCAGCACCCTATGACAAAAAATGGAACACACCAGCAGTGTGTGAGGAGACCTGAAAGTTGCACATGGCAGGGGCATGATTCATGGCGGATTTAGTCAGTTGTGTCAGGAACTGGTGGTTTGAAATCCAGACTAATCCACGCCTGATTCATTTTCACAAACGTGAGTCTCTCCACACTTTGGGTGGACAGTCGTGTCCTCCGCGGAGTTACAATACCTCCTGCCGCACTAAACACGCGCTCCGATGCCACGCTACTGGCCGGCATGACAGCCTTTCAAGGGCAAATTCAGCTAGTTGGGGCCAAAGGTCAAGTTTCGTTGCCCAGTAGTCAAGGGGATTGTCTACCTCGGTTGGCAGGGTGCTGTCCAAGTAGGCCCAAGCCTGTTGTTTGAGCTCCTGCTCCAGGTCCACCTGATGCTGCTGCTGCTGCTGCGGCTGGTTAGTAGTTTCCTCACTGCGCTGGTGAAGAAAGCTACTCATCATCGACTGCAGACTGAGGCAGCCGCTGCTGGTGGAGCTGCCACTGCTCCTACCACCCCACCCCTCCCCTGCTGCCATGGCAGCGGAACGCGAGCGCACAGGGCCCACAGTGTCTGAGGATGGACGTTGGCGCACAAAGGCAGAGACCAACTGACTACATAGGTGGTTTTTATAGTACGTAATTTTGGCCTCCCTCTCAGCAGGTGTGAAAAAGGCCACCATTTTGGAACGGTAGCGAGGGTCCAACAAGGTGGACAGCCAAAAGTCATCCCTCTGTCTGATGGTTATTATTCGGCTGTCGCTACGCAAGCAACCGAGCATGCTATGGGCCATTTGTGCCAAGGAATGCGAGGGACTCCCTGCCTCCATCTCCACAGCATACTGCCACGGTGCGTCTGGGTCCTCTGTCTCCTCCTCCTCCTCCTCTACCAGATGCTCCTGCTCCTCCACTCCTGTCCGCTGAGTGTGGAAAAACCACCCATTTCACTCAATAATTCCTGAGCACAAATGTCCTCCTCTACCTCCTCCTCTTCTTCCTGTCCTGCCCCCACAGGGGTCATGTGGCGTTGAGATCTGTGCGCCACGTCTACCGCACCCTGACCAGCCATTGTTAACAGCATTTGTTCCAGGACGTGCAACAGAGGAATGACGTCGTTCATCCCATAGTCCTGCCGACTCACGAATAGCGTGGCCTCCTCAAAGGGCCTGAGCAAGCGGCAGGTGTCACGCATGAGCTGCCAATGGCTGACATCGAAGTTACACAGGGGAGTACCTTTATCCGCTTGTAACATCAGGAAATCGGTGATGGCCTTTCGCTGCTCGTAAAGGCGGTCTAACATGTGTAGGGTTGAATTCCACCTTGTTGCAACGTCGCAGATCAGGCGATGCTGTGGAATTCCGTTCTGCCGCTGCAGCTCAATGAGGGTGTTCTTTGCGGTGTAGGAATGGCTGAAATGCATGCACAGTTTACGTGACATTTTAAGGATGTCTTGCAGTGGGATGGTGGATTTTAGGAACCGCTTGACAACCAGATTGAACACGTGAGCCATGCATGGCGCATGGCACAACCTTCCTTGACGCAGAGCAGACACCATGTTCTTTCCGTTGTCGGTCAACATGGTTCCGATTTTCAGTTTGCGCGGAGACAGCCATCTGTCGATTTCTCTGTTCATTACACTCAGAAGTTCCTCCCCTGTGTGACTACGTTCGCCAAGGCATACCAGGTGCAGCACAGCGTGACACCGTTGCGCCCTGCACATGTGATATGCCGGTCGGGTAATGGGACTTGGCACGGGGGTGGCGGCTGAGGACACGGCGGAAAAAGAGGTGGTAGAGGCGGACATGTTTGCTGGACCAAGGACGTGCAAACGTGGAGGCAAAAGCGTCGTGACCTGTCCAAGTTGCTGGTGCGGCTGTGCCGGCACCACGTTCACCCAGTGGGCCGTAAATGACATGTACTGTCCCTGACCGTAGTTACAGCTCCACACGTCGGCGCTGCCGTGCACTTTGGCAGAGACCGACATGCTCAAAGACTGGCCCACCATCTCTTCTACATGTGAATGCAGGGCTGGCACTGCCTTTATGGCGAAGAAATGACGGCTTGGCACTCTCCACCGCGGCGCGGCACAAGCCATCATTTCTCGGAAAGGTGCTGAGTCCACCACTTGGAAAGGGAGGGACTGCAGCACCAGCAACTTGGACAGGAGGACGTTCAGCTTTTGCACCGTCGGGTGCGTGCTCGCAAACTGTTGTCTCTTGGAAACGGATTCCAAGAAAGACTGTTGACGGAATCCGAGAAGAGGAGTAGCAGGAGAAGGAGCATCTGAACGAGCGGAAGATGCCAACGAGCGACAACTCCCCTCAGCAGAGGTGTTGGAGCCTTGACTGGCTGATAGAGGGCGATTGACGACGTCGGGTGACGGAGCAAGTAACGGAGCGGGTGATGGAGCGGGGGCTGGGGCAGGCAGAACCGCCATATCTTTATCACGGTTTTTCCCAGGCCACCGAATGGTGACGCTGCATATGCTGACGCAACGCTGTAGTCCCAACATGGGCCCCCTGGCCACGCTTGCATTTCTGGCCACATAGTCGACATACGGCTACGTTTACTTTCCTCGGGCGGCTTGACGAAAAAATTGCCACACCACCGAGTAGGAAACTTTGCCCCCGATACTCCTCACTGGCTGACTGCTACTTCCTCCGTGCGCACCGGCACCACTACTGGCCGTGGTGGTAGGCTGCAGTGGAGCTGGTGCTCTACTCCGTGGCCGTTTGGCTCTACTGACACTGATGCGACCCTGCTGCCTCCTGGGCAACCCACCGACTGTTTCGCTCGCTGCCAAGCTGGCACCCTCTTCTCCTGATGATGCGGAAGAAATTGCCTGATGACGACGAGGCAGCCAAGTGCGATCAACCTCCTCATCATCAAGTAGGGTCTCCGCCTCACTACTAGCCCCCTCATCGGCTGCGTCTGGGTCAGGAGACAGACCTGTCTCTAGACCGGCTACCGAGCCACTCTCCTCGCCAGTACTTGTTCGCCTGGCTGCTGAAAAGGCGGATGTCTCCCCCCGTTCCTGACCGCCCTCTGTTAGCTCTTCCTCACTGTACAGTGGGGCTGAGCCCACAGCATGCGATACTTCGCTTGGTGAGGGAAGCAGCAAAGGACAGGGGCAGGTAGAGGACATGTGATTTCAGTGGGCTTGCTCCCGGGGCCATGCCAACTAACGGTTGTGTCTGACGTACCCACCGACCGTTGGCTGTAGGTGTCAGAGGTGACCTGGGAAGAGGAAGACGACCGAGCCAACCAATCAATGATGGCAGGGTTGTCGGTGGAGACACGACCGCTGGATGACACCGGGAGCACTGGCCTCTGGCTGCGAATAGTGCTGCCTCGACCCCTTCCTCTGCTGCCACGTCTGCTCGCTCCTAAAACATTGCCTCCTCTGCCACTCCTCTGCATGTTGTCTGACATACTCTTTAATTCAACGATTATGTGTCCCTGAGTAACAATTCTGTGTCCTCTGAGTAACAATTCTGTGTCTGTCCGAGTAACAATTCTGTGGCCCTAAGTAACAGTTCTGTGGCCCTCAGTAACAATTCTGTGTCCCTGAGTAACAATTCTGTGGCCCTAAGTAACGGTTCTGTGGCCCCTCAGTAACAATTCTGTGTCCCTGATTAACGTTCATGTGGCCCTAAGTAACGGTTCTGTGGCCCTCAGTAACAATTCTGTGTCCCTGATTAACGTTTCTGTGGCCCTAAGTAACGTTCTGTGTCCTCAGTAACAATTCTGTGTCCCTGAGTAACAATTCTGTGTCTGTCCGAGTAACAATTATGTGGCCCTAAGTAACAGTTCTGTGGCCTTCAGTAACAATTCTGTGTCCCTGAGTAACAATTCTGTGGCCCTAAGTAACGGTTCTGTGGCCCTCAGTAACAATTCTGTGTCCCTGAGTAACAATTCTGTGGCCCTAAGTAACGGTTCTGTGGCCCTCAGTAACAATTCTGTGTCCCTGATTAACGTTTATGTGGCCCTAAGTAACTGTTCTGTGGCCCTCAGTAACAATTCTGTGTCCCTGAGTAACAATTCTGTGTCTGTCCGAGTAACAATTCTGTGGCCCTAAGTAACAGTTCTGTGGCCCTCAGTAACAATTCTGTGTCCCTGATAACAATTTCTGTGGCCCTAACGGTTCTGTGGCCCTCAGTAACAATTCTGTGTCCCTGATTAACGTTTATGTGGCCCTAAGTAACGGTTCTGTGGCCCTCAGTAACAATTCTGTGTCCCTGAGTAACAATTCTGTGTCTGTCCTGAGTAACAAGTTCTGTGGCCCTAAGTAACAGTTCTGTGGCCCTCAGTAACAATTCTGTGTCCCTGAGTAACAATTCTGTGGCCCTAAGTATCGTTCTGTGGCCCTCAGTAACAATTCTGTGTCCCTGAAGATTAACGTTTATGTGGCCCTAAGTAACAGTTTCTGTGCCCTCAGTAACAATTCTGTGTCCCTGAGTAACAATTCTGTGGCCCTAAGTAACGTTTCTGTGGCCCTCAGTAACAATTCTGTGTCCCTGAGTAACAATTATGTGGCCCTAAGTAACGGTTCTGTGGCCCTCAGTAACAATTCTGTGTCCCTGATTAACGTTTTATGTGGCCCTAATAACGGTTCTGTGGCCCTTCAGTAACAATTCTGTGTCCCTGATAACAATTCTGTGTCTGTGCGAGTAACAATTTCTGTGGCCCTAAGTAACAGTTCTGTGGCCCTCCAGTAACAATTCTGTGTCCCTGAGTAACAATTCAGTGTCTGTGTAGCTGAGTAACAATTC